ATGTCCGGATCTCGGGGCTCTTGCAGGCGAACCGGGGAACGCTTTGCACCCGCGGCTCCGCCGGGGCCAGCTTGGGTGACTTGGCAGAGATGAAGCCAAGGAAGGAGTTAAAAAATAAATAAATAAAAATGCCGGAGGATATGGAGCGGATGGAGCAATAAATTCTTAGATTATCAGGCGATAAAACACTTTTTGCTTCGTGTTGTAAAAAAAGGCGACAACAATCTCGTTGGAACATGTAAAGCCGCTTTATTTTTAAACAAGCTGCGTTTCTGTCGACTTGGAGGAGTGCTTTGTGCTAACGCCAGTAACTATAATCTTGTTTTATTGCTGCCTGAGAATGCCTTCTGTGATCCTGTGATAGGGTGAATTATTTTTCCTTAGCTAGAGCCCACAAAATACCTTGCTCTTCGCTTTTTTTTTTTTCCCTCCCTCTGCCAAATCTCGCTGTTTGTGTATTTGAGAGGCTTCTGCAGAGCAAAGTAATTGGGCTGCCATAGGAAATAAATGGACAGAGCCGAGACAAACGTCTCCTGGTTCTTTTAATGAAGTGCTATGCTGAACTCTTACAACGAAGCCGGGAGCTGGGCTGACTTCTGCTGCTGGTGAGAAGTCCAGCCCTGACGCATGAAGCTAGACAGGAAAGGTACTGCTCCAACTAACAAGTTGTTAAATACCTATTTAAATAACAGCATTTTAAGGACTGTCTCATAGGCGTGGGTCTGCGCACCCATGCCTACATCCAGGAGGTGCAAGGGGTACTCCGTGCTCTTGGGCTCCCTCACCCCAGAAGGTGGAGGAGGTCCACCACCAGAAGGTGGGCACCGAAGCGCGGGCAGGAACGTGCACATGGTTAAAGCTTTTCAGAGCGGTGGCACGGTGCGGCGTCGGGCACTTCCTTCCTCCCCACCCGCCCGGCGGGCTTTGCGGGATACCCCTGCCTTCCCCGGGGCAGCAGCAGCCGCCCTGGCCAACCTCTCTGTCCTCGCTTTCTAGGAACTTCTTGCAAAAGGTGATGTTCGACGGCGGCACCGGCAGCCCGTACGCCAAGGTGATGAGGGGGCAGATCAGCTTGTCTTCGTCCGAACGACTCTTTGTGTGTTTCCAAGCTGTTCGCGGAGCTGGAAGAGGGCTGCAGGAAGCACGCCGCCGCCTCGGGGGTCCCGCTCCCGAAGACGTTCTCCGTCACCCAGGCCTTTGAGAGCATGGCAGCCGAAGGGGAGATCAACGCGCCCCTCCTGCAGGCCGCGAGGGCGCTCCGGAGGAACGGTGGGTGGCTTTGGGAAAGGGATGCTGAAAAGCGGCCTCTCGCCTCCTGAGCGGGCACCGAGGGGTCCCGTCTTGGTCCCCCCCTTGGTGGTCCGCAATAATTCCCGCTCCGAGACCGAAATCTGTGCGCCTCCATGTTGCGATGCCCTCAAGTTTCCCGTGCTCCAGCGACTGGTACTGAATAAATCAGGCATTGAACGGTGGGTGGCTTTGGGAAAGGGATGCTGAAAAGCGGCCTCTCGCCTCCTGAGCGGGCACCGAGGGGTCCCGTCTTGGTCCCCCCCTTGGTGGTCCGCAATAATTCCCGCTCCGAGACCGAAATCTGTGCGCCTCCATGTTGCGATGCCCTCAAGTTTCCCGTGCTCCAGCGACTGGTACTGAATAAATCAGGCATTTTGTCACCGAGCCGTAGCTATTCGCCACGCTCCGAATCCCGCGGGAGAGCGTCGACCAGCAGATAATACAGCCGCAGAGGAAGGGAGGCTAGTTCATTAACTGAGGCTAGATCCGGGGCTCCTTGATGTGCACGAGCTCTGCCTCGCGCCCTGCCCGTGCTGGGAAGGTTGAGCCCTTGTTCTCCTAGCAGAGCAAATTTGGACTAAGCACAAGAGCAAAAGCAAAAGAGATCTGCGTCCCACTTCACCTAAAACTAGAGGTTTGGTTTTCAGCAGCATCTCGAGTCTTGCTGATTTTTGCCCGCTCTGCGGCTAAAACCAGAGAGGCCAGGCAGGCAGACCGCAGTCTGGTGGTGCCTGTAGGTTGTTTGGGTGTTGGGGCTCTTGCTTTGTTAAAGCTGAGCTCTTCGCCCCGAAGCATGCAACCTCATCTGCTGTTTCCCTTTGAAGATCGCTGAGGACGATAACTTCTTAAAACGGCTCCCACTGGAGCTGCGTAGCGCGGCTGTTTGTGCCCTCCGCCGGCTGCTGTGTCCCCCCCCCGTCTGCAAGCTCATTGGGGCAATGAATGGATGAGAAGTCGTTCAGCTGTGTCCCGGCTCGCGCTGGGCATCCTCACCGCCTTGCCGGCCGCAGTGTCAGGGTCTGTGGTGCAAAACCGAGACTTGCAAGCTGGAGTCTTTAGGCTGAGAAGCTCTGAGCAAAGCATCTGCTTTTGCCCCAGAGAAATGAGAGGTGATATCAAACGCTCGCTTGAGAGCCAACGTGGGAAAAGCAGCAAGGTTTCTCCCAAACCCTCCCGCTATTAATAGCCCGCCAGCCTGTTCAATGCTCTGCCTCCTCCTAGGATTTAAGACCTGCGTCTTCACAAATAACTGGATTGATGACAGCGCTGGGAGGCTCTTCACGGCCACCTTGATGAATGTCTTGCGGAGACACTTCGACCTGGTCATCGAGTCGTGCCGAGTTGGAATGCAGAAGCCGGACCCGGAGATCTACACCTACGCGCTGGAGGCGCTGCAGGCAAAGCCGCAGGAGGTGGGGCCGCCACTCGCGCCGGCAGCGGGCAACGCCGGGGGACTTCAAGAAGGGGCTCTGGTTGGGCACCCCAGCGGGCGCCTGGCTTCCGCTCCTCCCCGTGAAGGGGCTCCAGCCACCTGCCCTGAAAACGGCACGAGGGAGCCTCTCAAGCGTGAGAAGTTGTCACCCAAAGTCTTTAATCACCGTTGAAATGTCGCGGTGCAACCCAGCTGCAGCTCTTCCCGTGGATGCTGACCCCGATTCTCTCTGGCTTAACTCCAGGTGATCTTCCTGGATGACATTGGTGAGAACTTGAAGCCGGCCCGGCAAATGGGCATGGCCACCATCCTCGTCAGGGACACGGAAACCGTCCTGAAGGAACTGCAGGATCTCTCTGGAGTCCAGGCAGGTAGTGGGGATGGGTGCCCTGCTCCTGCCTGCCTCCTGTCCGCTGCTTTCCTGATGGGTGCCTCTTCACCTGCATCCTGTTCCTGGGGGGGGTATCGGTTCTCCAAAGCCAGGAGCAATGACCTTAGAGTCTGCTTTATCGAGTTTGGGGAGGTTTTGTGTACCTTTGCGTGGCTGTAGCCAAGTAGAAAGGTGAGGAGGAACTGAACAAGTCCTTCTATAAACGTGGCCTTGCCTCCAAACCTGCTTCAGCATAGCAGAGGCAGCAGAGCTCGTCTCAGTATGTGGAAGAGCTGTAAGTATATCACAGCAGCTAGTAATCAGCCCAGAGCAGATCCCTGGTGTGAGTGGCTTGGCGATCGCTCCGCAACCTTTAGTCTCACTGTTCCTGGATGGACCAGGGAGATAAAAATACAAACACAGCATAAAACCGCTCGCTGCTTGCAAGCTGCTGCAACGTCAGTGAGATACAAAGTGCAGCACACGTGTGGGCTGTGTTTCCCCAGCGCAGCATTTCCAGGAGCTCCGGCGCTTTGGTGGCTGGGCGCACGCGGCAGCCGCGTGAGCGCAGGCTTGTTGCTGACCGATGCTCCGCCTGTTATCTAGGGCTCCCTGCCACCTGCCTCTCGTCCCTGCCTGTTGTTTTCTGCTTTATTGCTGTCCTGAAGGATCTTGGGTTGGTTGTTACTGCGTGTAACGTGAGGCAGCCCTGCCTCATGATTGGCCTTCTGGGTCTTGCCATGATATAGCGCTGCTGATGCAGGGCTTTCGGATAGGCACGGGTCCTCTGTGGCACCCGGAGCCAATGGGACTGGGACTCTGAACTAGCTGTAAACTCTGGCAAACCCTACCAGAACCCCGATAACCTCATCCTATGTGCAAGTGATGGCCTAGACCGGCTGGGTCACGTCCGTCGCAAAGGCACAGGCATCCCGGTGGAAGCAGGGTTTGCTCCGCAGGCAGAGAAGTCCTGCTCCGGTGCAAATATCATGCGCTTGCTGTGCTCCAGAGCAGGCGCGATGTTTGCCCTGCAATTCAGCTTGCTTTCTTTGCCCCGTAGCTTCTGGGCCAAGAAGAGATGCTGCCGACAGCCTGCGATCCGATCAACATAAGCCATGGATATGTGCCAATCAGGGTAGGGTGGAGGGAGCTGCCTTGGTGCTGGGCTGTTTGAGCGCTCTGGGGGGCGAGGGGTGAAGGAGCTGGGCATGAAGGGGAGGGTGTTGGGTCCCACGGGAGGATAATGCAGCAGGAGTTGGTTGAAAGTGCTGTTGGGTTGTCTACCCTCATGCACGGTCCTCTCTCTTCACGCGAGCTGCTCCCGGAGAGGTTGTGCAGAGCCATCCAATCGTTCACATGTTCCCCATCCCCTCTGGTGCCAGACTCTGCTGGTGTGGCTCGGGGGAGGCCGGGGCCACCAGCCGGCCGCGGGGGGCAAGCGGGGTCACGGGCTCTCAAACCTTGTGGTTGAGCTATGTGCAAATGGTGGGTTGGGAGCGCGGGATTAAGCTGAGCTGTGTGCTGCTGCTAAGGGCTCTCTGTCCCCTCTCCAGCCCGGGGTCCAGCTGCACTTCGTGGAGATGGGGCAAGGCCCCGTCGTGTGCCTGTGTCACGGCTTTCCTGAATCCTGGCTCTCCTGGAGGTATCAGGTAAGGGGTGGTGTGATCCTCTGGCATGCTGGCTCCTCTCAAGGAACTGGCAGCGTGATGCCCTGCGAGTGCGAGGGAGAGGGGCTGGTGCCACGCAGCCGTTGCTCCCGTGCAGCCCTGGGATTTCCTGGGGTGCTCTTCCACCCTGGCTTGAGCTTTGAAGGACACGGGACACAGCCCTGGCATACTCCTCCCCGTGCTGCATCCTCAGCAGCCCATGCTTGGGCTTAAAACCCTTTAGAGGACATCTGTTCTGGGCGTTACTAGTGCACTGTTATGTGGACAAAAGTAGCTAACTCTGGCTCAAGGGGAGAGGGAAGTCCTCGGGGTTGTGTTTTCTGAAGGTGCGCGTTGCTTTCCTAGATCCCTGCTTTGGCTGATGCTGGCTTCCGGGTCGTTGCTTTGGAGATGAAGGGCTACGGAGACTCCACGGCTCCGCCGGGTGAGTTGGGTCTGCCGTCTTCTCTGGGGTGTCTCCTCTGGGGAAAGGAAAAGGATGGGAAGATCTTCGCCAGGTGTCTCAGACCTGTTGCAGGCCTGGGCCATAGCTGGCAGTCAGGTGGCCAGGGTGAACGAGGAGATATTCGGGCTGAGTACGGAGAAGCTTTCTGTTAAGAGGACTGGAGGTGGAGGGCTGGCACAAGCTTTGCAAGGGAGATCACCCCGTCTTCTTGTAAATCCGGGGCGTTTAGATCAATGTAACGTACCGCAACGTGCTTCCTTCTGGTGAAGTGAATGGGGTGACGCAGTTTCTGTTCTGAGCCGAAGGCAAAACTTCGCTGTGAACTTCTGAGTCCCTTTGCTAACCCAGGGCTGCGGCATCTCTGTTTGCTCCAACTACACCCGCTCTGGTCTTGTCCTCTGCTGGTTCGAAGGGAGTTCATTCGGGAAGTCTCTCTGCTGCCTTGGGTGCATCCAGGGAGCAGCTGAGATTTTACCAGCCCTTGTGAATCTGGGAGGCTTCTGGCCTGAGACAGACCGTGACAAACCCTCTTGCGGCATCCAAATGAAGCATGTTTCGGTCCGGCTGTTTTGGCCGAGGCCCCGCTGTGACAAGCCTCTGGGGGCCGCCCGGGGTCAGGCCCTGGGTCTCTCGAGCAGAGCCGCGCAGCGCTGCTCGCCGGCTGGGCGGTGAGGTGCCTTCTCCGGAGGTGACCTCCGGAGATCCCCCAGCGAGTGGCGGCTCTGGGAGCCCGCGGGTGCGAGTCGCCCCTTCCCCGCTGGGTCCCGGCTCCGTCCCTTGCTCAGAGCCACGACGGGGTCACGGCGACGCTGACCCACGCTGTCCCTTTTGCAGCCTCCTCCCCTTCTGCTTTGCTTGAGGCTTTCGTGTGGCTCTGACCCAGTGGTCGAGAGTCCGCTCACGGCATCAGCCTTGCAGGCTGCAAGTACAAGCCTGGCTTTGCCGGAGGCTCAAGACCGCACCGTCAATCATGTAACATCCAAGTCGCACGCCGCGGATTTCTTTTGTCCAAGTGGCTCCTCAGGCTTCGGGGCACTTGCGCATCACTCGGGCACTGAACCTCAGGGAGAAATGTCAGCGCTAAACAGCGATGGGGGCGGCTGCTTAAAGCCCTTTGGCTGGGGGCTCAGCCGTCCTTAGCGGACTACCCTTTCATTAGCTGTGCGGCGCTGTCAAGGACAAGACATTGGGCCGGGCTTGCTGGAGTGAGACAGGCACCCCAGAGCTAGCGGGTGGCTTTTGCAACGTGCCTGGCAAATGAGTTGTCTTGCACGCGACGGTCGTTTCCCGGGGTTGTCCCCAGAGCCCTGCTGTGTCTGCCTGTGCTCCAGCAAGACTGCACCGGACCGTGAGGAGCAGCTGAGCGCCCTGGTCGCAGGTTGACCTGGCGAGCAGCTTGTCCCATGGCTGCATGGTTGGGGAGCCACCTCCATCGAGCCACTGCTTCTCTCCTCTTCTCCCTCCTGCTTGCAGAGGGCTTTACCCCCAGCCAGGGCAGGTTTGCCTCCTTATGTTACCTTGCATGAGGGCAATCACTCGCGTCTCTGCAGTCTGAGTGAGTTTGATAGCGTGCGCTCAATGGAAGCAGGGGGGAGTTGGGCACTTCCACCGATACCAGCAGTAGCATCCTCCGCTTATCTAGAGGTTAGATGTTACCTTAGGTGTGACTGGGGCAATAGGAGACAGTGAAGGCAATCTGGCAGTTTTAGCCTCTTTAGAAATGTATGAATGCTAAAGTGATGCAAATTATATCTTTCTTGCAGACATAAAGGAATATTCCCAGGAGGAAATATGCAAGGTGAGAAGCCGTGGCAGAATTACATGGCCAAAAGGCGTTGGTGCGTGTTGGGAAACTGGCTGGAGTCCCAGAGTGAAAGGCTTAGACCGTGCATCCCTGGGAGTGGTGGGAAAGGATTTGAGGGAAGGTGGGGGAGACGCAGGGGAAGCCTTTGGGCTGCTTTTATCCCTGGGCCAGGTAATTCGCCTAGCCCAGACAGCAGAATAAGTGCCGTTCTGCTAGAGCCGCGGTCCAGGTTGTAGGGTCTCCTGCGCAGGTGGTGCCTGGAGGATGTGTTGCCCCTATCCCGTTCCCTGAATCCCAGCCTGGCACCTTCCTTTCCATCCCTTCCCTTCCGCTCTATCCTAAAGGTGCCTGGCTCTGTGGTGTCCTGGGGAGGTGGAGGGGTCTGGGGCAGTGTGGGCGCCCTGGGCGTGCTGCAAAGGCAGTGTTGGGGCATGGCCCTGGAGAAGAGCTCTGTTTGACTCCTCCTTTCCTCTCTTCTCTTCCTTTGCACAGGATCTGGCAGTTTTCCTGGACAAACTGGTGAGGAATCCCCTGTGATCTGTCCTTCCCTCTTGCCAAGGTTTGGGTGCGCATCTTTGCCCGCCTGCCCTTACAGCTTGTTCCTTCCCCGCGTGAGGAGCAAGTGGTTAATGAAGCACTGCAAATTGGCTGCTTCATTCAGTGACCTGGCAATGTTCAGGGCAGAAGGAAATAGGAAGCAGATGCTCACTTTTCTCCTTTGCTTCCCTCCTGGATCCTATCCAGGTAGCAGCCCCCTTCTTTCCTTGCCACGTGGGTGTCGTTGGGGTCCGGCTTTGGCGGAGCGGATCCTAAGCTCTCTGATTCTGCATGCAGCAGAGGTTTTATGGTAACTTTGGTCAAAAACCTTGATGTAACTACAGTTGTAGCACCAGCGCAGGTACTTAAGTCCTAGCATGTGTCTCTGTCACCTCACCTGCGTTTTTAAAGCCAAAATGCAATGAGTGCCATGTGTCTTTAATGTGGACACAGGCGTGCACAGAGGACTCCAGCTCAGGGTCCACCAGCTGGGAGGGCTCTTGGTACCTGGCAGCTGTGAACGGAGCAAAGCCGTGGCTTTCTGTTGGTCATAGATGGGATTTTCTAGGGTAGAGGTATTTGTACAGCTCAAGGTCCGTGGTGAGAACCACGCTAGGCATCCTTGGGAAGAGGCTACATTAGGTCCTACACTGAGATGCCTTCTCAAGGATCTCCTGTCCTTGCTGAGGACAGGGAAATCAGCTGGCTAGGGCTATAGCTCGGTCGTGTTTTTGTAAACCAGCAAGATGTTTGCAGAGCAGGGAAGAAAGAAGGGGACTCTGAGCCAGTTCCTGGTGCTTCTAGATTGTGTGATGGGATTTTTTTTCCCCCCTCTTTTTGCATTTCTCTTGGACAAAATTGGATAGGAGTTCCCTGTCAGTTCATGGAGACAGAAAAGCTCTTCTGCTATTAGACAAATATCTGACGGCTGTGCATTGACTGCGCTCTGAACCGGTTGCATTGCTGTGCGTGTGCCTTCCTCCATGGGATCGTTGTCCCGAGCAGTCCGGCTGCAGGGACAACATGGCCCTGGTGATCTGTGTAGCTCTCTCGTCTCTCATCCCCTTTGAAAGCATGACTGTATAAAAGGCAGCTCCCAAGTGATTCGCAGAGCAGCTGCGGCAGACACGGGGATTAATTCTGTCTCTTGGCAAAGATCAAATCTGGTGTCGGTGCAGTGTCTGAGGCATCCTCTGTTGAAGGCCAGTACAGCTGCATTTGCATGAGAAATGGTGATGACGATCTCGATCTCTTCGCTCTTCCTCCAGCAATTATCCTATCGAGACCGCAACGAGCGCACGTGGCTTCTGGGGCTCCGGTTTGTAATTCACTGAAGCAGGGCTGGTTCCCAGGGGCTGGTGAAGAGGGCAAAGCGCAGAGGTGACCTGTGAAGTGAAGGGGAGGGGGGCGGCCCTCGGTCCCCCCCCGCTGTCCCCCCCGGGGACTTGCAGCGATAGGACCTGGCACGCGCCGGGTGGCCCCTGCAGAGCGGAAAACGTGCCCGAGCCTCCTCCAGACCTGGCTGTTCAGCACTGGGGTGCGGCACTGAAACCACTGCTCCCCGTTGAGCACCTTGACCTGCAACATGTGAAGTCGGC